GGGCTGATCTGGAAGTTAGTGAGCAAGCGATATATATATATATATATATATATATATATATATATATATATATATATATATATATATATATATATATATATATATGCATATTGGTAACAGGCTATAAAATAGACATCGAGACATGCTACTCCATAGAATTCGAAATAGAGAACAATGAAACGTACAAAATATGTACTAGGATTTGGTAATAAATAAAAAAGGGACAACAATTCTTGTCCTTTTGCGCACGTCATTTTGTGTATTTTTCGCTTGTTTTAAGTTAGTTGTTTTGTAAACTTGAGGTCTGGGAGACTTTTGCGCACTGCGTCTATTGCGACGGGTTTCCTGCCATTGGTTCCAGCGTCGTGAGCCATTGGATTTTGCTGCAGAAGCTGTGTCAAAGAAGCTATTGTTCTTGCATATACACTGGTCTCCTGGTGTCGATAACTTTTGAACGAATGCTCTATAGTCATCAGCCAGTGATCTGGCTGAGCCTCTGACTATATTCTATCAGGGCTGTCTAGTGGAGAAGCAAAGTCTAGTATTATACAAGCGAGGGATCATCACTCCTTTTCAAAAGGGAGTTGGCCGCACTTAACCAACCGATTACCGTCAGATAGCGCTGCTTCCTGTGCTTTCCAACTTGGTGGGGTTTATCATCGCTGACGCACTTATGCAGTATCTGGAAAACTATAACATAATAACCTCAGAGGAACATGGTTTTCCATAAAACCGCTCGTGCAATACGAATCTGTTAAGTACACGCAATGGCTGAACTGGATCGTTTGATGCTGGAACAGGAGTCCATGTCATCTGCCATGGATTTTTCATTCATAAACTTCAGATTTATGGCATTATTGACCCGCTACTGGGTTTTATAGGTAAATCCCTGCACGCATGTCCGCTGTAGGTGAGAATAAGAGAATCCCTTTATGTGGCAATTAAGATGGTGATGTGTACCCCAAGGCTCGGTGCTAGGGTCTCGTCTATACTTAGTTTTCATAAACGATCTAGCAAGGAAACAACTTTCGATTTCGTGTTATTCGCTGATGATTTCAATGTGTGGCGAGCAAACTACCACAAGGTGCTCCAGCGTGACCTCAAAACGACTTCGAATTGGACAGTCAAAAGTGCCTTAGCATCCAATATGGAAAAATGTCGCGCCCTTCAATTACGCCGTAGACAGAATTACATCTACTGGGTAGGGTCACACATTTTACAAACCACCTCCGTGGAACTCGACGTAGATATGCTCATGCAAAGTGACTTTAAGAGTTTAAACAAACTGAGGCAGCTACGAAATGCGGCCAGCAGCACGCACGCCTGCTGCCCAGGTAAACAAAGTTGTACACTTGTTCAAGCTGCGTAACTTGAAGAGTGAGCACTGGAGCAGGTGGATGCCAATCCAGGGCCAGGAGTATGAATTTCGTAGAGGCAGATGACATTTCATCTTTTAATGCTTCAATCACTAAGCGGTTCAGAACGGCTTGGTGGTCTGTGCGTCGTCGCCAAACAAAGCAATATCATAAGCATAATCTAAATCGATCACGCGGTTTCCAGGAAGAAGCTCTACACCAGAACCCTGGAAGTCCTCGAGAGTGTTTAAAAAGACATCCTCGATCACAAACTTGACGCGAAACGGGGACATGGGGCAACCCTGTCGTAGACCGCTAGTGTCGATAAAAGGTGAAGAGTGCTTACCCTAAGCCCTCATTTAACCTGAGGCATTGCATTATAATGCTCGAAGGATGGCGGTATAATTTTCGAGTGCTCCATTCGTTTGTAAGCGACGCCAGAAAGCTGACCGATCAACGGAATCGAAAGCGGCTCGGATGTCCAGAAAAACAACTATATAGGCCTGGCGGCAAATATGACGCGTTTCAAGGAGTTGGCAGAGCATAAACTTGTGGTCCATGGGTCCTCAGTCGGAGTGGAAAGCAGTCTCTTCTTCACGGGAAGGCAATTCGCGAACCAGGATTAGTGTGCGGAGTAGATTGCATGTTAACTGCATGGAGGCAACGCTCATTAGACTGATTCCTTGGTGGTTATCGCATGGTGTACGGGTACCTTTCTTGAAAATCGGGACGATAATTGACTCCCCCCAAGTGGATGCAACTGTTTCATCACACCAGACCTTAGAGAACTGCGTTGTTAGATGGCTGCCAATTACTTCGCCCCCAAACTTAAACAGCTCAGGAGGAACTCCGTCTGGGCCAGCAGACTTGAATCGCTTCAAGTGTCGAAGCTCAACACAGACTTCAGCTTCAGTGGGTGGTTCAAATGAGATCTTCCAAGGCGCGCAACTAGGTATACTCAATAGGCTCGCCAGCGGAGGAGACCAGCTGAAATGATTGGGAAGTGTTCAACCCAGTGCTCCATACGCCTGTGTAAGTTGGTGATCGTCGTTCCGTCAACGTCTCAGATAACCTCACTGACACCAGGTCTTTTGTGATCAGTGGCACAAACGACCTAAAAGAGCTTGCGAAAGTTTCCAGAGAAGGCTGCCGTTTCCATCTCCAACAAGTTTCGCGATCAGCACGCAAGTTTTGCTTAAGTTGTTGGCTAAGAATACGACGTAATGCACTGTCGTTTGAATCGGTCGGGATATCCCTACGACGATCAAAGAATTCCATTGAGTGTGCGGAAATTCAGACCAATAGAGAGCGCCTTGTGATTCCGCAGAGTGAATGACTGGAACTTAGCATCACTTTACTCAGGAAACTCCAATGCTTCTCGATCTCTCGAAGTGGAGCATCAATGAATGTATGCGATAAGGAAGCATGATAAGTGGATCGAGTAGAGAGGTCAGCTAACTTGTTGGTGCCAAGCGTATGGAGCTTTCGTTTTGTGGAGCTGTCGAAGCACATGCAGATGTCCGCGCAAACCAAAGCATGCTCTGAAGATAAGTACGTAGATCAAATCGATCTACAACCAAGGACGCTGCCTTGCCGTCTAAAGCTGATTGCAATGTGATCTATTTGTGACCACGCTTGCGTTGGTAAGAAGTACGCCAGGTGGCTGCACGTTTTCTAATATGCCTAAAGTTCATGCTTGAGAGGAAGAGACGGGGGTCTTCGCGTAACGTAAAAAGTCTATCACCGTTGTCAGAACGGCTCTCATCAAGCTTGTGACTGCCACCAAGATGACATTCGCACAGAAGTAGGCGACCTACTCATTCACTGAGATCTCCGGCAAGGATGATGACGTCTGACTTTTCGGCCTTGTTCAAAAGGTTGTGGAGACCACGATGAAACTCATCATTAACCGAAGCACAGCTGCAATCGGTTGGAGCCTAGGCAGAAACGACAAACCAATTGCACTTCACTTCACGATGTCTGTTGATTCTACATGAGCCTTGAAACCGAACTGTACACAGCCGGCTGTCTATTGAAAACCAGTATAGTAATATAGCCTCCGCTTTTTCACCCAATGCAATACCGACACCAGCTAAACCGGTTGATGCTGCCTCCCTGTCACTAGACAGATGTAGGTAATATGTAGTCTCAAACGCAGCTGGGGACGACAACTTAACCACGGTACTGGGATCCTGCAATCGAGTCACTGAGAGACAACAAACATCGATGACGAGGGACACTAGTATGTGTGCCTGGCCAGCCTGTTGTCCAATCTGTAGGAGGGTCCGAACATTGAACACTGCCAGGCGGAATGAAGAACGGGGTCGAAGGATAGACGACGGCCGGACGCTTTGATTATCAGCGAGACGGGCATTAAAAGTAAATTCAACTGGTTAGGGATTATCAACAAGCGAACAGTTGGCGTGTGATGCAGAAGCATGAGTAGCAGGGAAAGTAGAATCAGAAGTGAGCGATGTAGCAGTTGTTGTTGCGAAATTCATGGTTTGCACAGGGGACACACAACTACCCGGCTGTCCAAGCCGAAGTAAGGAGTTGTCTTAGGGGACACCACCCCGAGTCTTTGGCTCAAGAACCTACCACAAAGCAGAAAGGAGCATCCATTGGGAGCCGGTGATTGATTGCTCAGTTCATGCGCCTTTCGTTCGGTTAGTAGCCAAACAGGGGCCCATTTTCCCCACGATTTCAGCAGCAAGGTACTTGGACGCAATACAACAGCAAGGTTGGTAAAAAGGGGCAGTGACTTTATTTAGTGGCGTGTCACATCCGCCACGTCGCAGTCTTGTTAAACGGACATGTGTCTTTTTGTAGGGAGAACGCTTGCCAGGCGAAAACCCACCATATCTTGGAACACTGCTGCCGAACCATTCGCTGGACCAAGAAAATCTCGGACCACCCAGCTGGTTGCATGAGGAGGTTGTTCGGCAGGCCAGCATTTTAACCGAAATTATTTGTCATATGAGCCTAAGAAAGCTGAGTACAACAACTATAACTTCTCCCATGTGGTCTTAATATTTTGCATTTAATTTGCATCTCTACTACTATTATTCAGCGGCGCATCGGCCCGTTAGACGCCCAAACAGACGACTCACATATCTTCTGACATTGTGGCTTGGCCCCTAACATTCTGCGGGACTTAGCAAGCAACTGCTTTTTCACCCTTACTAAATAATTGTCCATTGTACAACTGTTAAGTTTTGATCTATATGTGAATTGGCAACAGTCTAAAGAATAGACACAGAGCCAAACGATACCATTAAAATTAATGGAAGAAGACAGGTTGAATCGCTGCATCATTATGATAACACATTCATTGGTGAGCGAACCACTTCTGACACCGTATCGCAAGAAAAAACGGAACCTTTTTTTCTTAAGTGGCAGAATCCGGATTTTTCTTTTTGTCAAATGTTAAGCATATCAATTTGAATAAGTTTATAGACAGATCGACTGGTTTAGATTGCGTACCACATCCTGATTTGTTGCCCGCCATCGGTACTTGCAAGCTTGATACCGTAAATGTTCTATTTATGATGAAAAGACAACATTATTAGGGCTCATTAGTTTTTACAGAATTTCTCTGATACTCTGCATTTATATTTGGTTACATTTCTTGGGGAAACCCTTAAGGACGCGCCGCCTCCTGGGACATACAACGTGGCTGAGTCCTATGACAGAACACAATCAAAGTGCCAGCATAGAGCGCTGCCAAATCTGGATAGGAAACCCTGTCAAGCCGCGTTTCTGGTTTCGTCCAGAAGATTTGATAAAAGCTCCTGCCTATCCGCAAGTGATCCAAGCATGCCAGGTAAGCAGGTCCTTTTCTTTGAAACCCATATATTGCAACCCCCAGACGTGTGATCTGTTTGCACAATGACCATATACTTAATCTAACCCTGCCTGGTTATATTGCCGGTGAAATGGGGTACATCATTGCACTGGTAAATATATTCACGCCTAGCGGAGTAATCCTCAAGGAATTTAGGCGTCGTTTGTTCTTCTATAGGTGGAAGCATTTGGCCCTTTGAACATCTGCATTCTGAATCGACCCTGAGCAAGTACTACTCATTTTGTACCAGTTACTAGCCCAAATTTCGGCTCATAATTTTATGGCATCACAGTTGAATTTCTCTTGTTTTGTCTTCTTATTGATAACGGTGCAGTAACAGTTTGTTTCCGCGACATTGAGATGCTTGTTCAGCACCCTACAACAGCCCAAAACTTGTTTTGCCATTTATTTTATTTATTACTAAACACCACTGCTTAATCGTTCTCAGGTCCAGCAGATTATGAAATTTCAAGTGCGTTAAATGAAAAATCTGGGAAGTTCGTCTACCAGGCCGGACGATTCAGGTCGAAGGAACAGGATGCAACACCCGGTCCAGCAGATTATAAAGTATGTAACGTTATGTTCTTAGACTTAATGCATCTTTCCTGGGTACTACTTTATGTGCGCGCATAACGTTATAAATTATAAATAATCAGATCAGAGAGGTTCTTGACCAGTCGCGGATAAATGTTCCTATAAAATTATCTATTGTACTAGTTTCATTTCTGCTGAGGTAAGCACTGCCCCAACTATAATAACCGACTGGTCAGCTATGCACAATGAAGTGTTTAACTTCCTTGTACAAAACTTTTCGGTTCAGAAAGTTAATAGGCCATGTATTCCCATGCACCAACACTAGAAGTTCGGCTTCAAGAGATCCCTTGAAGCCCAGATTAAAAGTGTCCAATGATTGCTAAGTACGTAGCAAGTTTCCGCATGGCATTTCAATTGGTGCTTGGGCACTTCATGCAATGAAGGATTTCATGCTTCTATTGACGCATGGACTGGTCCACAGTCATAGTGGTAAGGTGTTAGCTTTTCTATGACCGTTTAGCTCTAAACCGCTATTTGTGGCACACCGACTTGATCTGTATTCACAAGCATTTTATTAGAAAATTATTACTAAGCTTTCGGGATCGATAAATTTGATTCAATTGGTTTCTCAATATGTGTATTGTCTATTACCGGTGGTGTGCCAAAAGATGACAGTCGTTAACTAATCCGTGTAGTTTCAGCTGAACTTTTCTTGCTATACTTCTCAGTGAAGATGCTCAAATTGCAGAACCGGTCACTTTAGTGGTAATAGAAAAATAGCTGTTTTGTTTGTGCAAGAGTCCAAACCACTAGATAATTGGGCAGGACTTTTCCGTAGCCCAATAACTACTTGTCTAAACTGCTTGGCTAAAAAATATTTCCACACTTGGGTAACAAATTCCAGTGGACTACAACAACCATCTAGCTTCAGCAACGTCGCGGACTGACCACTTTTATCCCAAAATATCTGCAGTATTTTTGAAGCCAGGGTATAAAAGCGGAAATTTTTGGATTGCGTCGCAAAAATTACTTTGTGCATTTTCGCCTCCCGTCTAGTCGAATCTCTGGCACCGTTTAACAGGTGTTTGTAACTAGTGGAACGCTTGCTAAGGTGGAGGAGGTGCATTCACTGTGGATAGCAATTATTACAAGTTACCACCTGTGCCGGAAACTGTGCTTATCGCGGCCCCAATGGGGCCGGACAGATGTGGACACCAGGTGTGCACTAGTGCGAGTATCACAGTGACCTGCGGGAGGTGTTTCAACCAATCATAATATTACGAACGTATCTTTCGTCTGCCAGCTTATGCACATATTCCGCTAGCAGAAGACAACCAGATGCCTAACAGCTGGTGAAAAGTGCGATTTTGTCTGTTTGCACAAAGATACTGAGCTTAATCGGCCACTTTATTCTATCGCACCTCAAAGCACTATACACCGGGAAGGATAAAACTCGATATTGGCAAGTAAATTACCACACTTTCCGATGACTTTGTGGCTTAGGAGCCACGTGCATATCCGCTGAATCAAAGCAGCTTGACTAAACTGCCAAATAGTCATGTGATCTGTTCGTTTTAACTCGAAACAAGAGCTGTAATTCATAAGTGTCCGTCACTGTCACCTATGACTCAACGGCTGGCGTTGAAGTCGCTAGAGATCATTGGTTCCAATCCCGTTGGAGTCGATGGACGCGCATTACTGACTAGCCCCCATAAGATGAGGCGGTAGTCTGTTGTAGTTCTGGGCACGTGGAGGATTATCGGAGAGAAGCTGCTGCGGTAAAATCATAACCTGCTTGCATCAACAACCCTGCATTTTTGAGTTTGTGAAAGTACGATTTTGGTGTTCACAGTTCATGAGTGGTGCGTACCGGTAGAGAGCGACCTGAATTCTGAATGGCCAACGAACGGCATAGCAAGACGCACACTTTTCGTTAGTTCATAATGGGTAGTCTGATCAGTTTCGTATAAAGGATAACCAACAAACATATCATCCATCTCTTCCTGCTGGTTTCATTTTGAATTGTGACGGGTACTTTGTTTGTGTTTGTAACAATCCATTCCTCGTACTGGCCGACTTTCTCATGATAATGCTAGAAAGGAGCTTAATTGGGGAAATCTTTCAAATTCTTTGCTACAAACGATATGTCGACGACATTATATTGTTCGGTTCTTCAAGCGTACAAATTGATGGCTAGTTGCACCAGCTTAACAGCGTCCATGCAAACGTAATGGTTACTCAAGTAGTTGAGATCAATGACTGCCTGAGGTACTTGGACCTTCTCAATAGATGAAAGGATACTGGCCTCGTTAATGGGTCCGTTTACCGGAAGTCAAAACCATGAGGTCAATATCTGCATTTAATCAGTTTTGTACTAATGGTTCATTAGCGTACACTGGTGAACTTCTTGTTCACTCATGCCATGCGTATTTTCTCCAGCGATGAGTTCTTCCTCAGGGGGTAGGGACAATCACCAGAACGCTTATGAAAATCGCTTTCCCTAGAGGCTAAATCGAGAAGCATATCCAGTCCAGACGGTCGAAGGAAATCATGTGCACATAACCTAAGTAAAGTGCATACCTGGCACTCCCGTTTAAGGGTACCGCCGCCACAACAAGGGCAGCCAAGTGTCTAATCTCTGCCATTCAGATAACCTACTGTGACGCAGATGCTGCGGTGATCAACGAAATCTGGAAACTGATGTTGCCCTCAGTAAAGTAAGAGGAAATCAGCGTGGCCACCTCACACTGTGTTTACCAATTTGTGTGTAACTGATGTCTCAGCCATCTAAGCAGAAGCGACAAGGTTTGGGATTCCAGACTAAAGAAACGCCTGCCCCAATGGGTTTACCGTGAGGTCAACAAGTCTGAGGTTAACCAACCCTCGTCCAACATTCCATGTTTTCGTAAGGTACCTGCGTCATCAATAGGCAGGCATATCTAAGTAACCCTTCGTCAGTTTGACACCGGTCCTGCCTTTTCGGATTTTATTATACCATTCTAATCCAATCTTCTTCCGTTTCGACTTGGCCAGCTAACATCTTCCTTATGTGCGCAAAAACAATCAGTTGTTGACCCTCAAATGCCATCGCGACTGTTCAACTCACTACATTTGATTTGTCTGGTAACACTTCATAAACGGTATATAAATACATAGCTTTTTGTTTATTTATATCCCTGAAAGAATACAAAATACGCGCATCTAGCAGTATTCGTCGCATTAATGTGTTCCACATAATATCCGTTTCTCTCGAAAACAGACAAAATACCGTTACGCGGTTTGTCTATATGGTCTATACACTGGTTTCTGTGTTACTAAATTCCCTGCGTCATCGTACAAGACGCATCGTTTCAGAGAGGGCTGGACATTTACCAAATTTTGCCTTTATTATTGGCTTATGGTTGTTGTGTAACATTGGCTGGTCCTCCGATGTTATCACACTGAAAGTAGATGCACTTTGAATGTGTAAGACTGCTGATGCATCCTAGCAATTATCAATAGTAGCATATTGGTATGATTAACCTTTCTATTTAACCGAGATATACTATGTGGTAAACACTATGCATATGTTATGCCTGCACCTATACATCAGCTGGCACCGACTATCGAGAGCTGCCTTCGTTTGGGCACTTTCAATGTGACGTTAAAAAAGAAGTATGTGATGGTTAAGCTTACGCGTTATCGTGTTTTGTTCGTTACATTATAGTTGATTCACAACATTTAGAACGTTTAACGTTTGGTTCTGTTCCTTTCCCCACAACGGGTGATGAAATTAATTATTCTTAAAAAGCGAGCAAACGGTTGTTCTGTCTACCCAATCACAGTGGATTTATCCCCCCGTTGCCACTAGTATTCTGAGCTATGTACAACAGCTAAGTTGGTGGGTGTTGGCACGACTGCATTGTTATCATTTCTCTCAGACACAAAAGAATTCACTTGGAATGTCGACAAGCTTAGCGAATTCAAGGTTCGGAATAAGCGAAATTCTAACGTTGTAGCTACCACGAGCCAACGGTATGAATATATATATATATATATATATATATATATATATATATAACAATCTGTGTAGGGATATCGTGTAATCAGGACCATGGCGGGATAGGAAAACAGGGTTAGAAGAAAAGATGAAAGAAAACAAACAATTTTTGTCCATTTTTCACTCAGAGTTTTTGCGTTTTTTGATTTTCTTTAGTAAGCGAGAGAAGGCGAATCACCGCAACATGCAGAGATATACGCTCACCACTGATTTCAATTTTGAGCTATGAGTTTCAGGGTTCACAACCAGCAGTACTCAACGTGGTTAGGGACCCCATCCAGGGGATCACGAAGAACCAACCCAAGTCAACTTTTTCGTCACCTTTTTCATCCTGCTTCTCCGAGTTGTGTGCTGTCCACCATACTGCCTCCTCCAGCCTTGCCCAGCGATCGCGAACAAGACATGACCCGGAGGTTGCTGAACGGACAAATGTAGTACGTGTCCGAGCTATCGTAGTCGGCGGAACGAGACAAGCGCCTCGAGGGAGTGGCAGCCTCCACCCAAGACACCGTCTAACTTCAACGTTGGTTACGTGGTGCAGCCACAACACAATGGTGATGCACCGCAAGCAAAGATTCTCAAAGACAGACAGTCGGTGCGGGTCATCCGTATGAGCAGGCCAAGTCTCTCAACCGTATAACGGTACAGCAGGAGCGGACGCATTATAAACCCGCCATCGGATGGAGAGACGGATGTCATGGAGCTGCCATAAATGCCTCATCCAGCAGAAGGTGAAACGAGTTGTTGAGATGCGCAACGAAATCTCGTTTCCAACAGCCCCATTAGCAGTTATGCAACTTTCTAGGTAGACAAAAATCTATACTATTTCTAACGTTTCCCCACCGATGTTAAGTGCGTGCAGGGGCGTACACCAGTCGTGGAAAAGCACTTTACACTTGGATGGTGAAAAGTTAATGCCATAATTGGACGCTTCAGTCACTAGGTGGTTAAGTGCAAGTTGGACGGCCTGCGGAGCATGACCCAACAGGAGGATATCATCAGGGTAATTCAGACCAACCGCCCGACTACCTGGGAAGAGCTCGATGCCAGCATTCAATAAGTTTTCTTGAGCGTTTATGAGGACTCCCTCAATGACACATTTGGAAAGAAATGGCGAGATAGGGCATCCTTGTAGAACCCCAATGGTGACAACAAAGAAAGGCTAAAGATTGCCATAAGCCCTAACTCAACCCGAGGTCAGACTATACAGAGCAGGCAGAATGGAATCGAACATCCAGTGAATACCATTCCTCAACTGATTGTGACACAATGCTACCCTGTCGACAGAATCAAATGCAGCACCAATTTCCAGGAACACAACAATCATTAGCTTTTGCTACACATGGCAGAGCTCGAGAATCTGGCAGAGTGTGAAAAGCTGATCCATGCAGCTACGACCAGGGCTGATGCCAGCATGTTCTTCTCGCTGTAGTGATTCACGCATTTGGGATATTCTGCGAAGCATAATGGACACCAGCATCTTGCAAACGACGGGAAACAAGCTTATGCCCCTATTATTGAAGCGATTTGCATGCAGACCCATTTTAAAGAGGTTCATAGCTATGGATGCACTCCAGAATAATGGAAAATTTTCTTTTGCCCAGACTTCTGAGAACAAAGCGGCCAGTTCTCGAACCAGCGAATAGCCCCCATCTTTAACTAAAGCAGGAGATAGACCATCAGGCCGGATGACTTGTAACGCTTTAGACAGCAGAGTTCCTGCCAGATTTCCAGGGGCGAAGGAGGATCAGTGGGGATAGTCCGCTCAGCACCTCTTAACACGCCAAGGGAAACAAATGTAGCTGCCGGCCAGGAAAACTGCCTACCAATATGTTCGAAACATTGCTCCAACCGTCGTTAAAGATCAGTGATTAGGAAGCCAACCTATTCGCAACTTCTTTCGCTTACTCCAGTTAGGAAGCTTTCGATGACTTGGATGAGATGGAACGGTTTTCTAGTGTTACCAGATATTAGCAATTTTCATCTCTCTAACACTTTCACAGCACCTGGTCTCACGATCCATCCGTAAGATCCTAGGCAACCGTCGATCCAAGGAGCAGCGTTCCCCAATCAATTCCTTGCGGCCGTCACCAAAATCCTTGCATCGGTCACAATCGAAGCTTGAAGCTGCATCGCGTGCATCATGTGACACTTTGCACGTGTGCACTCGTGTGAGCTATACTCATGGCCTGTGGTAACGACGTGAGATCACCTGATCGCCTTGCCCCCAATCGCGCTGGTACGGTGACTAACGTAGCAGTAAACTTCATACGCACGCCAAGTTGAGTGGAACCGTGCAACTGGTGCAGCAGCTTGCTATGCTTCAAATGTCACAACATGGCGCTCGTACGCAGCACTCGGCCGAGGTGAAGAATAGAATACTTAAGCCATATGAAGAGGGACACGAATGGAAGCATGTTGTACACATACTGAACTTAAAGCTGATTACCTGCCGTAGTTGGATAAAATGGTTAGAATCAATCGGTCAAACAAAAGCGTGTTGGGGACGCCGACACTCTCTGACAGAAAGCCAAATTGTTTGTCTGATGGAGTGGGTGTCGACGGAACCAACGATCACCCACCAAACACCACGTCTGCGGTTGCGGGTAGAGTTCAGCATGGAGCTAAGCGTGAGCGCACTTGCACGATACCTGGATGGATCGCTAATGACCATGAAGAAGTTGCGAGCAGTCCTGGAATACACCAACACACATGAGAACAAAATGCGGAAAATAGCGTACGCTTTGGCACTACTACAAGCTGAGGCCGAAAGGAAACAAGTGTTGCGAAAGGAAGCAACCAATTTCAATCTCTTTTGTGCTCGCACCATGGCGCGTTCACCGCGTGGATCTCCTGCTCAATGTCCTGTGCCCAACACTTGAGGCCAAAACATGCATCTGATTCGAGTGTTGACGAGCGATGGGTTAACAGACTAAACATCATGAGTGGATGCTTCAATAAGGAAAGGTGCGCGGCATAGTTGCGTAGACTGCTGGATGCCAGATGCCCAACGTTTATCGAAACTACCTCGCACTCTGTGCTAACGCACCCTACCACACGAATTTGGAAATTGTATTCCAGGAGGAACCGTACCTTTCCTGCAGCCTGCTGCTCTGATAACATATTCTACGTCACTGAATCCCATTTAGGGAATCTGTAACATCATAAAAGCGTTTGTGAAGCAGGTCATGATGCAAATATATTCCGAGATGCTTCAGGGAGATCCTGTGGGTGTACCATGCAAGAGCGAGCGGTGGATGCGCTTCTTCGAGCGAATTGTGTCCGTGGCACAAAGTTGAGTGACGCCTACAGCATTGCCACCAAATTTGCGATCATGTAAGAAGGAATTCCGCTCGTGCCATGCATTGCATGTGTTTGTAAATCTTTTTCGCTAACAAAACATATATTGTTTGAAATGGTGTCATCACCTTTATAAATCGTTCGTTCATAGGTTCGACATTCAGACTAAATGCTGGGGCACGCAGTTCGAACATGGCGTGGCGTTGAGAGAAAACCATAGGGTATCCTTATTGTTCAAAAGACTCGGGACGGCAGCTGCCGTGGTGCTAGAAGTGAGAAACCTGAATGGGTCAATAAATGGTATGTTATTAAACCATGCGGAATGTAAACGCATTGCCATGAAGGCTGACCACGCGCCTGCAGAACGTTACATCAAAGAGTCGTGCGGTGGGTAATGAGATTTACTTACAGTATGTGTTCAACGTCCTTCCAGTCGTGTCCCTCTTCATACATCTTAACTACTAACTTCTTCACCTCCGCTGAGTGGCATGTACGAGCGCCTTTTTGTGACATTCGGAGCATAACAAGCTTCTGCACTAATTACACTGTTCCACTCAACTTTGCGTGACTATGGAGTTAACTTCACCGCAACGTTACTCGCCTTGCCAATGCAGTCGGTGGTGAGTAAACCACGTGGTCTTACGTCGCGGACGTCCATCACTGTGGCTGATGCGTTTGGACACACGCAACATGCCACATGACGCATGCGATGCAGCTTCAAGTGTGACCGATGCAAGCATTCGGGTGACGGATGTAAGGAATTGGGAATCGGCTGGGCTTAAGCGGCGTCTAAGCGACAAGGGTGCAGTGGTGATCCAGCTTTTCGGCTGGCGATAAACAACTCCAGGACTGAGAGTACTGGTAGAACGTTAGGCGGCTTTGATGCGCCTCCATAAGGAATTCAGACCTTCACCAGACGATGAAGTAAGCAGGGTTGACAGAGAAGGCGTGTACTTGGCTAACATCGTAGGAGGTTGCAGTGTTTCGACATTTGGTCTTTTTGTGTGTACTTGTGGGTGACCTAAACTCATGCAGACCTTGGCACAAACTAGTGCGTGAGCGGAGTCCAGAAAGGTTGACAAGTACGATTGGCAGTCTTTTACGCTCACGGGCCATTTGTAACTTATTGCTATGTGGTCATGCTAGGACCACTCTTCGTTTGGTAAGGCGGACGACATGTAGCAGCCTATCGGTTCCAATGTCGAAAATTGGTGCTCAAGATACAAGCTGTGAACAAAACACAGAGTTATTGGCTTGTCTCCATTGTCTGATCGACTGGTACCAAGACCACAACTACCGCCAAAATGTAACAATG